GTTCCATTTCCACAAACAAAAGCCCGATGTGAGAATGGAGATACCCAAGAGAAGTGAGAACACATCAATATGCACAACTTGCTTCAAGCACTTCCATCAATAATTTAAAACAGATATTGCAGAAGGAACAAAGGATAATGAATTGCATAAGTGGCGCATAAGGAGGTTCTACACTTAAAGAACTATGTAAGTACATTTCTTCCAGATTAATAAAATCAAATAGATCTTAGCTTGATCTTGGAATCAATGAATGCCAATTCAAGACCATCTAATAAAAGAACTAAAAAGTGGCATTCTTTCAAAAACAAGGCTCTGGCTTCAAATCTTCATAGATTCAAACTTTCAATAGCTTTAGAATTTTAAAATGGATGAAACACTACCACTTTATCACATCAAAAAACCCCTAATAGATCGCACCAAACAAATTAAACATTTTTAATTTTTTCTTGGGAATGACTTCAAATGCCAAAAAAAAAACCCATCAAAACATCAAAAAATTTGAAAAAATCACCACAATTTTTGAAAAAATATTTCCCCTTATCTGGTATTAATTTTTTTCAAGAACAGGTGACTTGTCTGTAAGACTATTGAGCTCTAATACCAAGTAGAAATTCAAAGAAGATACCCGAGTTGTGTAGAAGAGGAGGAAGAAGAGAGAAAGATACGTGTGTTTCATAGGAAGAGAATTAGTGTTCCCATGTGGATACACCCTCTCTTCTTTATTAGTAAAATAAGTGTGGACACAAATACCTCTAATAGGGTGTAAAACATGTACACACTAGCTAGATACAAAATAAGCTATGGGTTTTATGATTTAGGCCCATTACAATAGGTGTTTACACCTAGGTTGGATGGCCTTGTTGGAGGTTGAATGAGAAAGAAGGGTTTTTTTTTTCCTGTTGCATCATACTACATATGATGCGGAAGACATTCCTTCTTCCCTATGTTGGTAAATTTCGACGAAAAGGAACAATCTGCTTCAACTAGCAAGTGCAAAAATAAATCACCAGTAGATTTATATCGAGAAAGTTTGTTGTTGTATTACAAGATTTTGATCCTCAAATCAAAAAAGATGTTTTGCTTAACGCAACTCAATGAACTCATGAAGAACCCGAGATGGTTGATAGTTGCTTGGTTCATACGTAAGGTTCAATTTAGGTCACACCAATTTCGTTGCTTCATTGAGGCTAAGGATAGTAGCCCATTGGCCAGAGCGGGTAGGACTAGATGGCTTTCATTGGTGTGGTGCTTATTTATTGGATCCACAGGTTGTTGGTTTAATGTGATTTGATGGAGAGACGAAAAGTAGAAACATAGTCAATTGGTTAAGCAGATGGCTATAGCAAGGGGACCAAAAAGCTGGAGCAGGGGCAGCTTAATAATATACAGATAAAGTATAAATTTTGTGATGGCATGTCTTTTTTGCCAGCAATTGCAACATCAACTAATGCGAGGGAACCTCAAGGTTGAGTGGTTATTGCTTCCTGCCACAAAACAATTTTATGGTTGGAGATGACTCTTCAGGAATTCTAGATTTGACTTCATGAGAGAAGAGGCCTTATTTTTTTGACATTCTGGAGAAGTTCAATTGCTACGACACTCAGTCGGGCTTCCATAGTGTGCAGCACAGGAAACGTTTCCACGGATTGACTAACTAATCTGAGGCTTGAGCTCTGGAAAATGTCTCCAACCTTGAGTTACTATTCTACATGCTCCTGACATCCCTATGGATATTACAATTTTTTAGCCTTTGTTCTTCTATCCTTTTGAGTCTCCTCACGATCATGTCCCAATCTAAGAAATTCTTAAGTGCGCTCACATTCTATTTCTAAAATTTGTTGTTCTTGTACTATTCTTTCCCCTACTGCTCGGCACTTGCAACGTGCAAGTATCTACTAAACAAATTCTTAAAACTTATCAGTGACAAACACACTGTTTTTGTCCCATTTTGTTCCACCAACACCAGATCAAAAGTTAGGCAATAAAATATAAATGTATCCAATTATAAAAACTGAAAATAAGTAACTGACTGTTGCAGCATATGGTCAAGCAAACTGCATGATGCAATACACAGAAGATAAACACAACATAAATCAATTGGAAAAGTAATAAGAAAAAATTCACATCCTCAAAATATTATCTTTACCTGCTTGATTATCTTTACGCCTGTATTGGGACCACAATTTTGCAACACTTTGACTGAAATCTACATGTATCCTTCGATCATCAATTAAAGCATTATCCATCTGTCATGACAAATTAGTAAATAAAAAAATTATTAAACAGAAATTACGAAACCAACATAGTCCTCACTCCAACAATAGAGGAATTTATATATATATATACTGAATGCTGCAATATTATTGTGTGAATTTTTCAGCATAATTCTTCATAACTATTCAGTTGAAAGGACAAGTTGAGGTTGTAGAAAAACAAATTCTCCTTTTATCCTTTTGAGACCCTTCCTCTGTTATAGATTTGAAATGCTAAGTCCTGCAAAGCTTGTTGGATAAGTTTCATGCAGCGGCAGCCAGCTACTGCTGCTCGGACCATTAGGCAAGTATTGAGGATAAAGTATCTCTGTGCTCTTGATGGGATAGCCAAGTCAGTAGGGTAACAGATATAATCGAGATTATCAAAGTCTCGCAACTTTTTCCAAAAACAAATATCGTTGGAGAGTTTTTGGGTTTAAATATCTGGCCACTATTATATCTCACAAAGAAAATATTTTCTCACATGGAAACATGAAATTGGCATGAGACCTGAGGTGTACCGGTCAAAAGTTGAAATACTTTATATATATATATATATATATCTATCTTCCTTTCTTCTTTCTTTTTAATTGTTGTGATTTCCGGGGTAAATCCCTCCCAATTAATAACAGAATTGGATTTTATTTGTTACTATAACAACAAGCTGCAGCTGCAAGAGTGGGTTCACACAAAACTAGATCTGGTTATGGTATGAGCCCCCCACAACATGTGCAGTGCCAAGGAACATGTCATTGTTGATTGTTCTCCAGGATTTTGTTGTTGTCAGTAGTTGATATACACAGTTTGTAGCTGTCTACTCCCAATGGGAGAAGTTAGTTGGCGAGCCAGATATAGTGGTAGCATTGCTTCATGGAATGTAGGTGTTGCAGGCAATGAGTTTCCACAATGAGCTCCAACCATAATAGATCAACAATGAATGCAACTTCTGGGTATCCAGCCATTACTATTTCTTAGTGCACGTAGTTTGGATCTGCATGTATCTATAACAAATAAAGATGGTTAATTTTGGTGTACTTGTTAACATTGTGAAATATGATGATGGAAAGATAAAATGACAACGGGGAATTATTGCATCAGATCCAGTGCAAGGATTCCTTTCTTCTTCATATTGATAAATAATAACATTAATTTCATTTTAATCTATGCTAGTGTCATATGCCCTTTGATTAACCAAACTGTCGTTTAATACAGATTTAAATAATAACATTAGTTTCATTTTAATCTGCACGCTAGTGTAATATGCCCTTTGGTTTGCACAGGGGCCTCTGCAGCATTGCTGCACTGGAACCAGACTGCATGCAAGGGCGGAGCCACATGGGGCCAGGGGGGCTCCCCCCTTGAAATTAAAAAAAAATCATTTACCTATAATACTAATAGAGGCATAGCCTGGGAGAGGGGTGGAGCCGGGGAGGATGAGCAGCTCTAGCCCCCCCTAAACTTCTAAGAAAAAATGTATTCCTTAAAAATGGACACAAACAGACGCAATGGCCAATGAACTTGGCCCTCAAAAAAAAAAAAAAAATGGGGCTATGTCCCCAAACCCCTATTATTAGCCCCCTGCAAGAAAATTCTGGCTCCGCCCCTGGCTGCATCCCCCTATTTTCAACCCTAAAACCCCTAAATTCGGGATGATGGGATCTAGACCCTGGGTTGACCTTCTATGATGGTTTTGGTATTTTTTCAAACCCTGTAATTAGTTTTTATATTCAAATTAGAATGCGTTTGGCTCACTTTGCTCTATCCCTACATGAGCTTAAATTGTTCAGACCATTCAAAAAATACAAAAAAAAAAGAAAAAGAAGACAAACAATAGACAAAAAAAATTGCATGCTTTTGAACTACGTGTGGCTTGTTTCCATGTGCATGGGTGCATAGGCAACCCTGTTCGGGTTCAACTACCCTAGGTAGAAACCTTAGGTTAGTCCTTTTTATTTCATAATTTTTTATCTTAAGCATACTAGTGAATCTTAATTAAATCTGGAATTGCATGTTTCCATCGACTTTTGAGCATAATTATCGATTTTACATGATGATTAAAGTAGCATGTGATATTAATTAGGAATATTATCAAGTTTCCATAATCTAATCGGATTTAAAGAGTAGGTAAACCGCCTTTGGCGGAAATCAAGGGTGCCTAACACCTTCCCTTGATTTAATCGAATATCTTACCTAGAATCCTTTAATCCTATATGGCCATACCTCTTCAATAACTAATCCATTAGATTAGGGTTCCTATTTTCCCTCTCCCTCCAAATTAGAATAGGTGGCAACTCAAAATCCCATGGTCACAAACTGAATCAAACATATCAAGGTCAAAAGATGCGAAATATGCGGCCACAAACAATATTTGAAACCTGAATAGAAGGAATCTACCATTTCTTCAATATACCTTGTAATACGCTTGTTCACATGCCTCATTGGTCTCAAATTCTGAAATAACAAAATTTACAAAATTCGTTGTATTCAATAAACAGGAATTTTATGAACATAACTAAAACAACAAATAAGAAGCCAAAAAGCATGCCAATGGCCACATGCACATTAGTATTCCACATATGGACTAAGATAATATACATCATCAAGTTTTGGAGAAGAGAAAGAAAGAAAACATAAATATTGCACAACAATATAAGATATTATACAATGTGAGAGAGAAATGTGTAAATCTCATATTTGTCATGGGTTGCGAATGAGAATCGAACTCTACGAGATCTAATCTCACATTGTTCCTCAATGGCTCAGAGATAGAGCATCAATAATTGACTGATCATAGGTTCGAATCCTACTTGGGGAGATTTGATTCATTCCGAATTAAATAATTCAGAATCGATTGCAACTATGTTGACTGGTCTGGCTAATGTTGAACTTGATAAATTGAAATGGTTGGATTATATGCATGTATTTATGTGAAAAAAACCAATCCCCAAAACTCAAGAATGTGTTTTTTTTTCATTCAAATTTTACTACAATCATTTAAGGTCTTAAAAAATTGGTACGGGTCCATGCCCCCCCCCCCTCTTTCCCTTAAAAACTTATTAAATTTGCAACAGCATGAATATATGTCAATAACTAGAACACAAAAGTGATAAAGGATATAGATACTACATATTTCATGGCTATTTTCTTTTGATTGATCAAAATAGCTTTCGACAATAGTTTCCTGCAAAGGAAGCTAGCCGAGATTCCGCAGATTCAACTTGCAATGGAGGTTGTGAGAAGCTAGCCAAAACTCTGAAGTGGGGCTGAAATTTTGACAGACGCTTCCTGCAAAGGAATAACCTCTTATCCTGGAAGGCTCCTTCTTGAGAGGGGCTTTGTCAAAAACCTTATCTATATAATAATGGTGGTAAGGGCTTTAGAGTGTCTTGATAGGCTGCTAGTTCGAGAACTGTTACTACTTATAACCAGTGAAGCAATATTCCACTCTAGGCCATTATGCAGACAAAAAGTTATTTAATGGACATTTTTTCTAGCATTCTGTCGTCATTGGTTCTGTAGAACCTCGGAACTAAATTCTTAATCTTGTGAATAGTGCCTTCAAGGCCCAAAGCCTTAATGCAATTGTGGTTTCATGTTTTAAAATGAAAATAAATTTTTTTTTTAATGAATTAAAATATGTATAGAAATTGTTTATGGGTGTTAGGGATAAATGAAACAAGAGTAAGAAATACTCTAAGTGTCAAAAAGAGAGATGTTTGGAAATACCCTCAACTTGAGAGAACTCTAGTTTTCGCACTGCTGATCGGAATCAAGTGATTCTTGAACCATTAGAAAGATATTGAAACCCTCTTCAATGTTCATGTTTATCACTTTTCCATATTTTGAGTCAAAGTTAAATAATATGTGACTTTTCTGGAGTTTTGGCTGCTGTAATTACAGACCAGTCAGATTTAGAGCCTATTTCAACCATTTTAAACTCAGAATTAGGATTTGCCCATTAGAGAGAAAATTATTCATCTTTGAATGACGAGTCCAACGCAAGTTGAATCGTCAAAATCCGATAAGCGAGTCAAAAGTTATGGTAAATACCAAAGCGGAAAAATCACAGGACCAGTTAGCGAATTTCGGCGACGAAGTGCTTCAACTTAGTCGACGAAATTCGTCAGGGAACCCAATTTGGGCGACGAAATTGCCCAGAAACAGCTGAAATTCAACCTAGAACTTCACCAACCGACTTTTAATAAGTTACCAACTTTGGGGATTTCTTCTAGAACATTTTAGACTATAAATAGGAAAGAGAATTCGGTCCTAAAGGTTTACAAACCCTAAGATTTGTTGTGAGAGAGATTTTGATAAGAAGAATAGAAGAAATTGGGGATTGTGATAGAAATTGTTCATGTGAGATCGTGTGGAGCAAAATTCTGATTTCCAGAGTTTCCTCAAGCTCGTACCTGTCATCTGAAGCTTGATTCTCCACTGAGATTTCATTTTAAAAAGGGTCGGTACATTCTCTAGCTAGCTTTGTTCTTATTAAATATGAATTGAAGGTTGAATTATTTTGTAATATGTTAATTAACCATATTACTTGTTCTGTTTTACTGAAATTGAATTCCATAAGCATGCTTCCATGTTTTAAAGATTTGTAGATACATGCTTTTGCACATGCATGCATTATATGCTGAGATTTTGTTAATTTATACACATGCGTGTATGGCATGACCACGATTTCTTGAAATTACAGTTATTCACATGTTTTCCATGATATAAAAAAGGATTTATGCAAGACAAGTTTAAGATCAAATTACTAGGCTTCAAGGATCATGTCTAAGATCTAAATTCTAAGCTTCAAGGATCATAAACACCGATAATGCCAAACATAAGGGTTGGTGCAAGGATGTTGGTGACCTAATTGTGTCAATTTGGTTAAGGGTATTCACATACCCGACTTCAAGTCGTTTCAAGACACTAACATCTGGGTCACAAGCAAGTACAAGTCAAGAATAAGCATGATTCACATACCAAGAACAAGAACCATGTTTTACACAAGACACGTACAAGACAAGAACTATGTTTTACACACGGCAAACATCTTTTCAAAACACGAACAGTAAGTGTAAAGTATGATAAACTAAGCATGCACATGTGATTTTAAGAATGACTTTGTAGTTAATTGCATGCATTGAATATGAATGAATTGTTTTATTTCACATGCAAGCCATGACATGTATGTTATCACAATGTTAGCTATTGGTTTGTGCTCGCTGAGTGTTTCAATACTCAGTTGTACATTTGATGTCGGCAGGTGCTAGATTAGAAAGTTTCATATGTGCTCCTATTCCATGAGTTGAGGAAGACTATAGCGAGGAGGTACCTACTATGGAGCATCAGGTGGAGGATGAAGATTATTTCTAAGTGGAGAGAATGTTTATATTTTGATGAGTGGGCATGTCCACTCTTCTAGTTTTGTTGTAAGTAATTGTAAATAACCTCTCTTCAAATACTGTTTATGTATAAAGTTTTAACTTCGGCTGTAGCATGCCTTGTATTATTTTACAGGATGGTTTGATTTGACAGGTCAAGTCATGAGCCAAAGTATCCTAACTCCTAAGGGGTATTTTGGGTCGTGACAAAGGTGGTATCAAAGCAAAGGCATTAGGTCCGTATAGGTTGTCTTATTCCAAGAATAAACTAATTAGTTAGTCTTAGTTTATTTCGGTTAATATTTAACCGAAAGTGAAAACTTAGCCACGCTAGGAAGTTGTATGACTATATTACTATGTGAATGCTTTGATGAATATATGAATGATGTGAATAATGTGTATATATGTGGTATTTTCATTGAAATTTAGAATCATGAATTGTTATTCCTCTCAGGAGTTCATCATGAGTCGTGGAAGTAGAGGGTAGAGGATATCCTACCAGGAGATCTGAGGGGGAGATACTAATAGGAGATGAACAACCTAATCTAACTCAAATCCTTGGGTTTATTGCTCAGACCATGAATATGTTGGCGGAAAGGCAGTGGCCTGTAGTTCATCCTATACACAACCCATCCAGAGTCCAGGCAGAGATTGAAGCCTTTCGAAGGATGAGACCTCCAGTCTTCTATGGTACCACTGATCCTACTGTAGCGGAGGCATGGATCAGACAGTTGGAAAAGTTGTTTTCGGTATTACAGCCTACGGAGGCAGAACAAGTTGCATGGGCAGCTTTTATGATGGAGGGAGAAGCAGATCATTGGTGGTTATCTGCTAGGAGGACCAGGGATTTAAACTGAGCTGGTTAAGAGTGGTCTTGGGGAGAATTTTTGGATGTGTTTTATAAGAAGTATTTTCCAGTGGGAATTAGAGAAAAGAAGGAGATGGAATTTATTACCTTAGAGCAAGGTAATACGTCGGTGGCTGAGTACGAGGCAAGATTTTCGGAGTTATCAAGGTTTGTTCCACACATGATAGCCACAGAGTCTATGAAGGCAAAGAAATTTGAAAGAGGACTGAAGGGATACATTAGAGACAGTATATCTATGTTTCGACATGAAACATATCCAGAAGTAGTGGATAAGGCACAGTTGGAGGAGACTAACTCTGAGGAGTTTTTCAAGAGAAGGGAGATGAATAGAGGACAAAGTAGCTCATCACAGCCAGAGAAGAGGGCTAGGACTGCCTAGTATCAGATTTCTGGGCTAGCACAATCACAAAGGCCTCCATCTTCACAGCAGAGCCCTTGCCCTTTTACTTCGCAGGCCCCTCGTCCATTTGCTCCTCAGACTTTCCGTTCGATGGCTACACATATTCGCCCCACCAGTTCTCAAGCCACGAGAAATGCACCGCTTGTATCATCTTCATTTACATATGAGGCTTGCACATATTGTGGGAAGAGACATCCGACTGGAGAGTGTAGGAGACTTTCAGGAGGATGTTTTCATTGTGGTGGCTAGGGCCATTAGATTAGGGATTGTCCGCATTGACAAATGCCAGTACGGTCTCAGGGAGGTAGACCTCCATTTCGGCAGCCTTCTCAGCAGGGGTCATCTAGACCTCCGCAGTCCTCACAGCCACCTCGTCAAGCTAATCGGGGCAAGGTGTTTGCTATGACGGAGCAAGAAGCACAAGCATCTGATGAAGTTGTGCAGGGTACTTATAAAGTTTCCTTGTTAAACTTATAAATCATAAATGAAATATGATTACTATGTATGTATTTAACCATGTTATTTCTAAACTATTGATGTATGTGTATATTTGTTTGATACTTAGTAAATTTTAATACTCAGGCACATTGCTAGTGAATGAATGCTCAGCTCGAGTATTGATCGACACAGGATCCACTCATTCATTTGTCTCTCCTAGCTTTGTCGAGGGTTTTTCAGCAGAGTCTAGTCTGTTAGAACGTGAGTTAGTCATTTCGACTCCACTGGGCAAGTTAGTTGTTGCAGATCGTACCTTTAGAAATTGTATTGTCCAAGTTGGACATCATGAGTTGCTAGAAAATTTGATCATCCTTGAGTTTCAATATTTTGATGTCATTCTCGAGATGGATTGGCTTGCTAGTCATCACGGGCATGTGACTTGCTTTGAGAAGATAGTAGATTTCAAGCCAGATGGAATTAAGTCATTTCACTTTCGAGGGCTAAGGAAGAGAGATGTTGCTCGTCTTACAGCTCTAAGTATTTCAAACCCAAAAGTAAAGAACTCCTCAGCTATTCCAGTAGTGAGTGAGTATCTAGATGTGTTTCCTGAAGAGGATTACCTCCAAATCGGGTAATCGAGTTTGCTATAGAGCTTGCTTCAGGTACCGCTCCGATCTATAGGGCATCATACAGGATGACCCCAATAGAATTAAAGGAGTTGAAGCAGC